GAATTCAATAGTCTGTGATTGCTAATTCCTATTTTATCACTATTCACAGCAGCTAAGTTCAACTATAAACAATGTGGATGGAAAATGACTTAACTAACTTCAAAAGTCAAGTCTTGTATACTCAGAATAGTAAGAATTCTATCAAAGAAGATGTAAACACCTGATAGAGATCACTTTTCGTCTCATATTCGATATTTATGTGGATAGAGAATTTATGCATTTGCGGCAACTGTCACATTGTCTAATCGGCTAGTTGTCAAAGTCGAATACTTCACAAAACCCCAGATTATTTAAGCCATCTTCAAAAAATCAATCGAATTTATGAAACTTTACATTAATTCCGAAGAAAAGTGAAAAATCGAACCAACCGACTTATTTTATTTACTCAGTATAGAGATGAAAATTCATGCAAGGATCTCAAGATTTATTGACTTCTTTCGAATAAAGAATGACTGCCCTGTTTGCGTTGAATATTAATTTCTGTATATCTGTAATTTTTTTCGGAAATTTTAGTCAGTTAACTGGCGTACGGATACAATGACCTCCTATCTTTGTTATTTGTTTAGCAGTATGAAACGGTTTAATTATTGGCCTTGTATATACACACATATTATTAGTCAATATGAACCAAAAATATTACTTAAAGATTATTTTTTATATGAAATGATATGAGCTAAGAATCCGTATCACACTATATTATATTTCGCCAGGTTACTTTAGGAGTAATTAGTGCGACATATTATCGGTTTCTGAGGAATAAAACAAGGCTATCTACTATTACCTTATCATCTTCCCGATTGTGGAGGACTGGATCAAGCAACAAAGAGTGAGGAGCGAGAAGAGGGAGATACACTGGATCGACAAAAAGATCCTAGAAGGTTTGGATTTCGCCGATGACTTGTGTCTGATGTCACACAAACTTGATCTGCAGGCGAAAACTAATAAGTTGACAGAAGAGGTAGCGAAGACGGGTCTTCAAATGAATATAGAGAAGACAGGGGTGATGAAGATACCCAGCCAACAACAACAGCTACAACAAGCTTCAATCACCATCAACGGGAGAAACTTAAAGGAAGTAGCCTCCTTCACCTATCTGGGAAGCACTGTTTCAACTACAGGCGGCACAGGCGAGGATGTCAAAGTCAGGATCGGAAAAGCAAGACAGGCGTTCATTAACCTGAAACCAGTGTGGAGATCTACTGCACTCCACTCAGCATAAAGGGTGAACAAGATCCGGATTTTCAACACTAATTCAGTCAGGTCAGTGTTCGTATATGGTTGAGAGACTTGGAGCTTTACGAAAGGGATTTCCAATAAACTACAGACACTCATCAATAGCTGCCGCCCACAGTTAGTCTATACTGGAGATCAGATGTTCAGAAAGAATAAACAACAAGGAACTCTGAGAACAAACCAACCAAGAAGCTATCGCTCAAAAAATATGCAGAAGAAGATGGAGATGGATTTGGCATACACTTTGAAGGCTGACTGGGGACATCACGCGCCAGGCCAGGCCCTCAGATGCAACCCAGATGGGAAACAACGAGTTGGGCCTCCTCGGCGGGGGTGATATGGAGGAGATGGTATGAGGAGGAAATGAGAGCTTGTGGGCAGTCGTGGTGCCAGGTTGAAAAGACTGCATAGAAGAGAGTGTAATGGAGATTCTCTACTGAATTTCTATGTCACACTGGGGACCCAAGGGGCAAATAATAATAATTATTATTATCGGTTTCTTAGAGTCAAACTATAAGATATTCACCTCTTACTACCAAGACTTTGATACTCAACTAGTGAAATGAAATCAAAAATTTCGCATTTTTCAACTCCAACCAAAATGACGTATAGAAAAACTAGTGTATTGTATCAATAATCCTCTTGAAATCAGTCAGTTTATCATAAATCACATCTTATCATGCCAACTAGATGCTTCAGTATCAGGGAAATACTGCAGACAAGCATTATGTAACAAATGCTATACAGTTTTTGGTAGAAAAAAAGTTTACTAAATTTGACTTCACAGCTAACTGAATGCTAACATGTCTTAAAGGAACATTGACTGATGTTTTTGAAGAATCCCTAACTTATAGGTTGCATTACTGAACGAAATTTATTTGAAATAAAGGCAACTGAAAACTGGTAGAAACGAAACTATGCTTTCAAGGAAGCACCAAGTAACAACAATGAATCCAGGATCTATTGAAGTGAAAATGAAAAGTCACAATCTCGATGGCTGATGCGATACCGGATAGTAACTTATGGTGTTGAATGGTTGCTGAATCGATACAGAAGTGAAGCAATGAGAAGTATTACATAAGATTCAGCAGCAATTTACTCCTTCTAACTATTTATTAATTTTTCAACTACTATAAGTTCACAATAAAAACCAGTCTATGGTGTTTAGTTATTCCATACAAAATATATCCAGTCGTATCTACTGTCAACGGTTACCTTAGTTTCACAAGTTTTATTTACAGGTATTCGTGACAGTAAACAAAGAAAAGGGTTTCCTACCGATTGCCTCTATCAAAATGCATCGAGATGTTGAGTCAACTAGCCTTATGGTCACACTGCAAAATATTCGTTAGAACTCAGTCAGCACCAAGGAACAGACAACTTGAAGTTTGTTGCCCTAAATATACCAATCAATGTATCTAATCCACTCCTACAGGAAATCATTCTCGGCCCGAATATCTCATTGGCAACGTCTATGACTGCGGGATTGGGTGATATAGTTTTGAGTCTCAGGCGAAATATCAGTTCTTTAGAGGTTACAGATATGCCTTACTGATCAGGATTTCCTGCTCATAGTGAATTTCAAGTCAGATCTACTAAAATTAGGTTAGCCATGATTGGCCAGCGGCCAACAATGATACTGAAATGAAATTAGACTACCCACCAAGATTCGATTGTACTGCAGAGTATTTTGCTTAATATTGCTGTGAAAGATGATCAATAATAGTAGAAGATATGAGGTTTTAGATGTCTTATCACCACTGTCACTGCAGGATTGACGGTTTATTCTCCGGCTACCAGGCTATTAACTTAGAATTTAGGCGCAGAAGTTTGGATAGAATAAGTAAGCGTTGGAATATGTAGCTCGCAGGCTTAGTCACTGTCTACCCTGTAAAACTAAACTATCTGAAGTAAATTTAGACAAGGAATGATCTTGGATTGCTAAACTTAAACATGACGCTAATTCATAAAGTTTCTGACTATTGGCACCTGCAGAATAGGTGAATGTTTGTCTCCTAAGTGAGAGTCAACTTATCAACCGAAATCGGTGGTTAATGAGAGATTCAGTCAGACGTTTTTAGTTCTTTTTCTTTAGCTATCCTTTTTCCGATCGTTAATTTTGACTTGAGATATGGAAATTTGAAATGTTACACTATAATGCTGAATTTCATGTCGATATCTTGGTCCAAGCGTTCCTGAAATGTCCTGTGAGTCAACTCATGCCAAAATCCTAATGTTTTACATTCTCTAGTAACCAATCCTGCAATTATTTACATGAGGTATGTTAATAATGACGTAAACGAAAGCAATGTGAAGCGGCATTTTTAATAAAGAATCAGGTGTGCTACAGTGTTTTGACTAAATACTTTTAAAATTCGAATGATTCCTTTCAATGTACTAGATAGTTTCACATTAAGATTGTATCACTTTATTGATATAAACTACGTAAAGTTTCGCGGTAAGGGGTGATATAAATACGTCTTCCAATTAAAAAGGTCTTAATAACATTGGTCAATTAATATATCAGGAGTGACACCACATTGTTGAGTGACAACTACTCAAGACTTTGAGATTATTGATTAACCTTAAAAACTCCAATTCAGTGATGATTAAAAAACTAAAACACTTGTGAGTAACTTGTTAATACTGCTTGACGATGATTGAATGTGAAGTGAACATTTGGGCTTCGGTAGGATTCGAACCAGCGATTACTGGAGTGCCAGCCCAGTCATTTACGAACTGAGTTACGAGAATGGATTACAGACCAGATGCTTACTTTACTTCAGTCACCAAGAGTTTTGTCTGAAAGAAATGTGGTAGCGTTACTAACGGATTGGTCTAACTCACAATATCTGCCCAGTTAAGGATTCTCATCTCAATCCAAATCTGCTTGAATTAGAAAAGGGAGCATCATAGTGATTGCCACTTTTACCATCTAAGACAACCATTGTTTGATAGACTATTACTGATATTGAGTGATAATGATTGAAGTTTCAGTGAAAATTTTGATAGTGGGGGGATTCAAGCCAGCGACCACTATTTATTATTGCGTCATAAATTTAATGAAATGAAGTTATTACTGATGCATAAAATACAACACCGAAAATCCATGAAATATGCCACACACGCTCCTTTGAAGTCTTGTTTATCGTTGACCTGATAACATTCCAGTTTGAGGGTAAGCACTGCTACGAATGTACAAACTCAAAGAAAGTAGAAATTTTGTTCTCCTTGGGTGTCACACATTAAAAATATCTTTTATCTTTACTCGTGATAAAACTACTTGAAATAATAAGTCTTTAATTGGTGTTACTGAAATACTTCATCAAACAGTCATTCGTTCCAAACTTCCAAGTATTGGATCCAATTGTAGACTGCTATTTAAGTAACGAAAGTGTGTAACTTAGTTTTCTTCATTCTCAAACTAAATTAATAACTATGAAGTATATCTGATAATGGTTTTCACTGTGATAGTAACGTGTCTGTCTGTGAAAACTTGAGATAAAACAATTGTAAATCTAGGACGAAACAGTTGTCCAGTGCTCCCAGGTTTCCTTTGTTCCTCCAACTGATGTCAGTCTACGATGAATAGCAACTTGTAATTGTAAATCTGTTATAAAATTTATTTTGCAAATCAAATTAAGGCATAATTCAAATTTCAGACACATCAAATGTACTCACCATTTAGTCTCTCGTATGTACATAACCGAGTAAGTGAAACAAATTGAAATTTAAATGACAAATAACAATCTAATTAGTCTACTTACCTTGATGCCTTTGAAAAATCTCCAAAAGGTATCAATTATTATTTATTTGAATTTTGAGGGAGTTGCGGGAATTTGAAAATATTTCAAGTTGTTATTTATTATTTATTTACTCTTTTCAATACGAATAATTTGTTTACTATTGTCAAAGTCAAATGTGGATATATATGAACAAATTGGTAAGAAATAAGACATTATCATCAATTATAGATACCGATTGTATGAATATTTCTACTCATAGGAAAATCCAATTTATTTTTATATGGAATTAACATTCGAGAAAATACCTTGATTTGATTGGTCAATCGGTTATTTCGTTAATAAACCAATGAAATGTAAAATTATTATGATTATTTTCTCGTACAGAAAAAAGGAGGATTAAAGCCCAATTAGTTGACTAATCAGGCGGGATCAGATATATAATCTACCTGATACGTTGTATGCATTTAGTGCATGAAGAATAAATTTTTATGTAATACATGACCCGTTACAAATTGTAACAGTGTGACCTCACTGATGCCTGAAGAAAAAGAATTAATGAAATTGTAACAAGTGAAAATTTAAAGCCTTAAAAGTAGATGAAAAAATGACTGAAAAATTGAGGAAAATTATTAGTCTATTAATCCGTGAAAAGTATTTTCAACAATAGATTAACCACTAGGAAACATTGAATAGTCAGTAAATAATATACCTACAATTATTATACACTACGATCACTAATAGTATATGCAACAACTATTTGCTAACTTTACTTTTTCTTTGAAAGCGTACGCCTGTTATTCTTCATTTGGAATTTCCTCCAGTCAACGATGTTGTAAAACACAAGCATAATCCCATTATGAATTTTGATTTTACACTCTGTTTTTTGAGCATAATTGTTCCTAAAAGTAAAGCTTCACTAGCTATATTTATATTCATGGGTATGTCAGAGTTCCTTCTGAGACTTGGATGCAGTAATCACTGCTTCAGATCTTAACACAGATGAGAATCAGGTGTCATTGCAAATTCCATTATGCCCAGCTGATGAGTGTTCATTAGGGAGAATAGCCACTGGCAATTATCTACTTAATGAGAATAACGAGAATAATAAGAATAATAATCACTTTATTCAAAGTAACATATGTGATGCAGTATGGCGTTCTCAGCATGCAATATTTCAATAAATTCATTCTCTGTACGTTATTTTGCAATGAAATAATTAATACATCTTAGTGTCAAGTCTGAACTGGTGAATGAATGAAAAGATGAGCGAAATTTTAGTGACCGTGGGTTGTGCAACCAGTATACAAACCTGCAATTCAACATTGGTATCCTAGGCATGGTAATGTGCTGTACATTTGTGTATTTATAAGTCCATTTTTACCAGCGTAACGTTTTCACATTGTCCTGTTGTTGGTTTGATAAAAATGCATGTTGAAAACATTTAAAAAATATGCGAGAGTACATCACACGTTTAAAAGATATTTAAAAAAATTAAAACAAATTGAAAGAGTAAAACTTGAAAAGTATATATTACGTGAAAATGTTTTAGAAGCCCAGGGTTCGAGTGGAACACCGTCAATCCACCGGTGGTACATCAATTAATGGTTATTTAAAGGAAACATTCAGGATTAGTAAATTGTAATAATAGAGCAGTTTTTCGCTTCGTGTGCTCTAAAAGTTCGTCACAAACAATACCAACGTTTAACCATAAATATGGGAATGTACTGAGTTGGTAGATTTCAACGCTGTAATTATTATGAATCAAGTCTTCCAACAACCTCGCCTGGTTAACTAGTTCACTAGTTACTAGCCGGCTCTAAGCCCGGATAAAGAGGGAAAGTTGGCATACGGCTAGCAACCCTGCCCCGTAAAACCAATCCAACCACTAAACAAACTTCAAAGCACAGACAAAATATAAAAACAAACTTATTCCTCTCTGGAATCGGGGAGACGAAATGACGCCAGTTGGTGAAAGTCTTCAGGAAGCCAGTCGGCCGATGTGTCTTCTCTCGATGAAAGCAAGAGTAAACGTGGGGACGTGGAATGTCTGCACAATGTTTGAACTCAGCAAGGCTGCCCTGATTGCAAAAGAGATTAGAAGGTATCACACTGAAGTGCTTGGAATTTGCGAAAGCAGTAGGGATGGAAGTAGACACTTCGAACTGTCTATAATCTACTCCGATAGTGTCACCCAGACGACAACCATGAGCACACTGAGTATTAGAGTGGCTATCATGATGTCCCCAACAGCATCGAAAGATCTCATACAATGGGAACAAGTCTTCTCCAGGATCGTGACAGCAAGATTCAACTCAAAAGGAAGGAAATTAACAATCGTACGATGCTACGCGACCACAAATAATGCAGATGAAAGGAAGGAGGAATTCTAAAGACAACTGCAATCATTGCCGAATTGCATAAGACCCCACCCAGATGGTGACATCAAAATTTTAATAGGTGGAGTGACATTAATGCTAAACTGGGTGCAGACGACACAGGAACGGAACTCATCCATCATTGGTCGAGAAGGACTCGATGAAATCACGAATTAAAATGGAGAACTGTTTGCAGACTTCTGCGGATTCAACGATTTGGTTATTGGAGGGAGCGTGTACAAACACAAGGATATTCACAAACAGACATGGACTTCACCAGATGCACGCATTAAACATCAGACCGATTTCATCCCAATGTGAAGAAAGTGGAGACACCGCCCACTCGACACAAGGCCAGATCACAAAGAGGAGCAGATGTAGGTTCACACCACTTCCCATCTCGTGGAAGGAACCTACATTCAGAATCAAGTTGAAAGCCTTCACGGAAGTCAGTGATAGACCATAGTTCAAGTTGAACACGCAGAACAGAAATTGAAGGACGAGACTATAAAGAACAACGCGTTTTCTATCAGAAAAAAGGGAGACAACGAGTAACATCCCTGAAGGATCGAGCGTGGAAGAACACTGAGACACTTCGAAAGAGATGTGGAAGTAAACCTGTATAACCGTAATAGGAATGAAGGAAGAAGAAGCAAGACAAGAAATGGATCTAGACGGATATGTGGAAGCTAATAGAGAAGGGAGAGGAAGATGGTGAAGCAGACGACGGACCAGTGCAGTGCAGGACAAGGAAGTGAAGAAGAGTGCACGGAAAGACAGAAGAGACTTCTACGACACACTAGCAAGTGAAGCAGAACAGGTTGCTGGTAGAAGAAACCTGACAACATTATATCAACTAACCAGGTTACTATCTGGGAGGGAGGAGATCAACGCAGACGAAACCAGTGAAAGATAATGAAGGAAATCTAGTTGCCGAAGAGAAAGGAGAAACGAAGAAAGGATAGACTGATCACCTCAGAAAACTCTTGAATCAATCACCACCTCCAACTCGTCCAGAAATACCACCAGCGACCGCAAAACTACCTGTGGACACAGGTCTTCCGACAAAAGCAAAAGTCCTTAATGCTTTAAAACTGCTTAAATCCGGGAAAGCAGCAAGACCAGATGGAATTCTGCCAGAAGCACTAGAAACAAAGTCAGAGATAACAGCGAACATTCTCATATCACTACTGTAGAAGGTTTAAAAGGAAGGAAGGGTACCTACTGATTGAAAGAAGGGGTACCTTGTCAAACTCCCAAAGAAGGGAGGCCTAAGCTTCTGCAAGAAATGTTGCGAAATCATGCTGTTTTATATATTAGGCCGCATCAACCTGGAGAAACTAAAAGATGCTCAGAATCCAAAATTACGACTGCAACAAGCTGGAATCAGGAAGTAAAAATCAAGCGAGGATCGAATTCCAACACTACACCATTCAGGATCACAGAACAGAGCATAGAATGGCAGATGACTCAATCCTACCTCAACCTTCGACAGCGTCGACCGAGAAATGATTCGAAACTGCTTCAGTACTACACTTCCAGTGCTTCAAACTTATATCAACCTCATACAACAGCTATATGCCAAATGATGCTAAATGCCAAGTGATCCACAATGGAAAGATCACTGACGCCTTTGAAGTGAAGTGAACACAAAAGTAACACAAGACTGCCGCCTACTATTTCCGATGGTCTTCCTGATTGTGGTTGACTGGACTGGTTTGGATTGGATCATGCAGCCAACCATCAGGAGCTGTGAGAAGATGAGCATATGCTGTTTGACGAATGAAAAGAGCCTAGAATATTTGGATTTCGCCCATGGTAATTTATGTCTAATGTCTTGTTGCACAAACTCAAAGATCTACAGGCAAAAACTAAAAAGTAGACAGAAGAGGCAGCGAAAACGGACTTCAGGTGAATTTTGAGAAGATGGAGGTGATGAAGATACCCATCCAACTACAGTAACACGCACCAATCACCATGAATGAGAGAAACATGTAGGAAGTAGTCTCTTTCACCTATCTAGGCAGCATCGTTTCAACTACAGGCGGCATAGATGAGGATGTCAAAGCCACCATCGGAAAGACAGAAATACAGGCTTTCATAAGTCTGAACTTAGTATGGAGATCTACAGCACTCAACATAAAGAACAATATCCGGATTTTCAACACCAATTCAGTCAAGTCAGTGCTGCTATATAGTTCAGAAACTTTGCCTGTCACAAAAAGCATTTCCAACAAACTTACAGACATTCATCAAGAACTTTCTATGCTCGTTTATGAAGAACAGATGGCCGGAAAAAAATAAATGACAAGGGAATCTGGGACGAAACAACCAATAACCTATCACCCAACAAATATGCGGAAGAAAGTGGAGATGGATTGGATTGGGCATAGACTGAGAAAGCCGCCTGCGGACATCAGGCGTCAGGTCAGGCCCGTGAGTGTAATCCAAAGGGAAGTTGGGCGTCTAAGGCGAGGTTGACCTAGAGGAGATCATGTGAGGAAGAAATGAGAGCTTGTAGGCAGTCGTGGTGCCAGGTTGAAAAGACTGCATGGAAGAGAGTAGAATTGGGGCGTACTACTGAAGCCGTATGTTCCACTAGGAACCCAAGGGGAAAATAATAATAAGTCTTCCAACGAGTGTACATTTAAGTTTACATAAGAGGAGAATATGTGATAGAATCTAAAACATTATTTTGTTGATGTCAGCCATCTAATGACTGTAGTCAATAAACGAGAAGAAAAACGTGCAGGGTAATAGTACTATAAGGGTAACAGTTGATATAACCATGTTGTCCGTAAACAAATATGGAGTCCAAATGAATCAGTGGCATGAATTCAAGGTCAATGATCAGGACTTGATA